TTTTGTTTGTTGTTCCATGCCTCCCAGGCGTCTGGACTGTTGTGAGACCAAATTAGAAGAATTCGCCCATGACCCCGCCCAATTCCGGTGCATGCCCTGCCCTTTGTGGGTGGGGCTCCGCTAGGCTCACATGTGCTGCGTTCCACTTACCCTATGCTCAACCCTTTCCAGACTTGACCCGACTTCCCCAGGTGTTTCTCCAGGTTATGTCGAATTTCCGTGCAAACAAGTAAACAAACAAGCAAACAGACAGACAGAGCGCTTTATATATACTAAGGATACTTAGTCCCCTTTGTGATTATTCAAGGGTGCATTATGCCGAACCCTATTTTCATTTTTTGCTCATCGAATTGCGCTGATGCAGGAGCTCATAGAACGAGGTGATACTCTGTCAGTGGGACTTTTCCATCCCTGAGTAACATCCTTCCGAGCAAGTGTGACAGGAATCGAGAAGACTTCTTCTTTAGAAGTGCGTCGTCGGAGAATCCCTGTCACAGAGAATCCTTACCAGCCTTGTTACACAATGAGGGAATGCTAAGTAGTGTGTGTGTTTTCCGTGATAGTATGTTTTCCCAACGAAAGTAGTGCATCGCCCTCCCTGATATCCGGTAGGCCATTATAAATATATTAAACCAGATAATTATTATCGCCTGATGAAAGTGTGCCTTCTTGTTCAAACCATGTACTTACACGGAGCGAAACTTTCTTCAGAACCCTACATATATGTGGCAGCTCTTTGGGTGTTCAAAATTGAGCTTTGTTGGACGGCAGTAACACATCTTGCAAAACTTTTCCTTTTATCTTTACGTTCTGAAACATTTCCTCTCATTCATCCATTATATTCCAGCTTACCGTAGCAATTGCTCAACCAGAAGACAGTGGTCTGGTACACTGCATTCTGCCAAGTGGCAAGCGAAGCACAATCCGAATGAGGGTCGAAGGTACGCCTATTCTTATACATGCAGCAGTCGCTACTACTGTCCCCAACTATCCAATTTAGATCGATATTGCCCTCCGCAACGCAACTCTTCGCACCTATCCGTCTTCCTGACTCGACACAATCTGTTCATCGGCACTGCTGCACAGTTCTCATGTCCAGTCGGTTACAAGCCACATGGTTACACAACGGCTGTTTGTGAGGTCGACGGTACTTGGAGTCACCCACCACCAAAATGTCATGATGAGTTCTTTTACAGTGTTTTCATTTTTCACAACCGCTTAACACGAAAAAGCCATCTCGAAAGAAGGTATGTCCACCGTGCTAGCGGCTATTTGGTGTTCGTTAGACATCCTAGGGGAACGATTCAGCAGTCGTCTCCGTCCAACGGGTGATCATCACAAAAGCGCACTGCGTGTCTGTTCCCATTCGTCTATAACTCTGAATTCTGAATCTGTTCGTTTCCCTCCAGGGCGATCCGGTATTAACTGGAAGCGCAAATGAAGAGGCTGGATTAAGAGCAAATTTTCGACTTAATCAATTCCGATGGTTCTTGTAATTTCCTTAGTGCAGATGAGGTTTTTGCAACATAAAGCTTCTCGAATTTCATGAACTAAAAAAATTTGCTCCTTTACTTCGTTTTTGCTTCAAAGAGCTGGAGTATTCATGGCCATCTTTTAAACAACTACTTTACAAAAGGCACCCGCAGAAATCAAACTCATGCCAACAACAGAATAACTGCAGATAAGCAAAACACTTATTTCTTCTAGTATGAGCTTGAGTGCGCAATTCACGTCGATAATGGTTTCTGAGATTCCTTACCGGCCTTCGGGTTGAAAAACAGTCAAGTTAAGGCATAGGAACGGCCTCAAGCCGGTTAAGCCGATACAGATCCAAAAGGGTTCGCACAGCGTTGTAGAGGCTGTAGAGGTTCGCTTTTCTCACCAGAACGCATACATTTTATGCAGGCAGACACTGTAGCCAGCTGTACGCAATATCGCACCCATTTGGACAGCTCGTCCAAAGACTCCTTCCATGCAGCTTCTGTCGTCACATCCTCGTCCAGCCCCTAACTCAATTACTTTTTCAAAGCCTTGCATTCCTCTAGAAGCGTTGATATTTGCATTACTTTTGCCACTTTTGCACTAATTTGGATTATCACTTCCATTATTCGTTTAAAGTTATCCCCAAAGTTATCGTGAACTGTGCCTTTAACACAATGTTTAAAGATCTCAAGGATGCTTCTGTTTTCGACTTCATTGTACGGACTGACCCCTTTTTCTCTGGATAAGATTTATTCGAGGGGATTAGTCTAAAGTTGGAAGGCTGTCGAAAATAAAGTTTTCGACTGTTCTAGCTCATCGAGTTTTGAGGAGAAACTTTCATAGTTGAGTCACAAGGGAAAGTGTTATCTCTAACAGTAAACGGCCTGCCCTCCGACATTGGCGTGTGTAGCCATAGAATCCCTTCCCGCGGTGATACTTTGAAGATATCATCGAGGTTGTGGCCGTTTCTGGGGCAGTGGCTCCTCCTGCTGCCTTGATGGGCGAAAGGATTCTTCGTTTTCTTATAAATGTCTCGAAATTTTCACTCGGGCCAAAAAATTGAAAGGGGAAACAGAAATGTCGGAAGCACGATGAGAAAATTGAAATGGGATAGCGCTTCAGATAAAGACAAGGCAAAGTCCCAACGGGTCTTTGTCAGACAGGTCAATCACAGGAGTAGGCAGAGCCACCTGTATCATCTGCTTTCCCCTTGATCATCGATTTGCTCGACTGGGTGTCTGTATAATTTACCGTTCCTCCGCGTCGCTACTCAATGTAGTGCAGTTGATTCTTCTTGCTCAAAGGACATAGGCATAGCATTCCTTTGGTCCAGAGCCATTGTGAAGACGTGTGACCCTCGCGGCTGCCTGGATGCTCGTTCGGCGTCCTGAAGGATCCAGTAAATAGCCGCTGCGGTACAACGGTTATTGGATTTCCGATTCTTTGGAGTTAACAAAGCGTCCCTGGTCTTCGGTTGACGGGACCTCGAAATCCCGGCACTCTTCCACTTCGGCGTTAATAGGGAAACTCCAAAAAACATTGTCCCTTCCACAGCACGTCAAGTGATGCTGAGTGATGCTCATTCTTCCCACGCGTAGGTTTCTTACCAAACTTGATTAATTTTCTCACACACGTCGTGCGGGGATTGAATCCAGGGCCACGTACGCGTGATAATTTTCACCAAAACACCGATATTTATATTACATATGTGTATTATACCAGATTCGATTAATTTTAGCTATCCAGTGTCCACCGCTGGCTGTTGACGGAAGAACGATGTCAGTGACTGTTTCCTCATACAAGTTTGGTGGAATTGCACAATTCCAATGTGCTAAAGGGTATAATGCTTTCCATTATAATTCTCATGATGTCTATACGCTCTCTATTCTTCATCCTTTTGGAAAGCAAGAAGGTTTTCAAGAGACTCAAGAAAATTCATATTAGGTACTCGTTGATCGGCTCGGAGCACATTCATTGCAAGAGCGACAGCACGTGGAGCGCCAAGATACCTTTTTGCACAAGTGGGTTTTGTGTGAACTTCATCAAAATCTGATTTTTCGGGATTGGCAAAGTAGAGTAGTGGCTTAGAGGCGCTGGATTTCTTAAAGAGAACAGTTAAAGGCATTACTTTTGCTGAGGACGACGAATCATGTTAGAAGTCTAGTAGAATGAGAACTGCCATGAACACTGGCGGATCCAGATTAATCAGAGTTAGAGACACACATTTAAACAGCCCCTATAGCATTCTAGAAGTATTGGTGAACTTTGAAGCTGTATACTTCTACCCTTTGCAAGTTTTAGCATATTCATCGAACAAATGAAAACGCTTGATCGTGCATAAGCATGACAAATTCTTGAAAAACGAAATCTTCTAGCGTTAAAAAACCTCGTTGCTCAGATGTTTCTCTGCAATCGACTTCAATTCAGAATAGTGGTGCCGTTGTGACTATGTAGTGGTCTATGCAAGGGATTACGGCGGTGGTCAGCCTATGCATAAGTCAGAACTCCTGACTTCCCGGACGAGTTTAATGCCAATTTATCGACCCTGGAGGGACCGAACTCTCGCTTGAAATGAGGTGGTATCGCCCCGGATTTCTATAGCTGGATCATGATTGTGCACGTCAATTGCCTTTACACCACCTCCGCATTCGTGCACTGTAGCTTGAGGAATGGATATGAGAAACTCGCAAGTAGGAAACATGGAAAATGCATAAAACACAGTGCACGAGATTTTTTAACATTTCGTAGCCGTGGTTGAATGCAGTGGATATTTCTTTCAGTAACCACTGCTGGCGCTGTATCAGTTATACGATTGGATGCGTTTTGGCCGAGTACGCATTCTAGAAAAATATCCTTGAAGGGAAGTCAAATGCATGGCGTAACTTAGAAGGTAGTTGTTCAAATACGAACACTATGTGCTTCGGTCGTTACAATTGGAGTGATCCCAGTCAGTTAATGCTGAGTGATACTCATTCATGCTTCAGGAACAGCAAGTTTGTGGCCTCTTGCTACGAATCTGATTAATTAACGACCGCATCCAACCATTCAGACTACCGATGACTAGCGATAGAGTTCAAACGCACTGCAGAAAAACATGGAGTCCAGATAGTCCCACAATACACATTTGGAGTTTTCAGCTCCAGAAGACTCTGTCTCGTCTTGGCGCATACCCGAAGTTGACAATAATCAATTGAAGCAGGACGGAATTTGACTCAAAACAACTTGCGCAAGAGTTTATAAACTTTGATTGTTTTTTGCAGCTAATCGGAAAAGGAGGAAAAGGCTGTGCNGAGTGAGTAAGCAAGCTCTTTTTGCAGAAAGGTTGCGCCTGGCCAACGCCCAGCGCCGAAGGGCGTGAAAATGGTGTTTGTACATCAGTATCAAAAGCTATCAACCCTTAGTTAAGATGTGTGAGCATTCTGAGCCATAGTGAAGTTTACCGTCCAGTTGGCGAACGTTGTCCGTATTCGAAGGGATTGCTAAGGTCTACTTCGAGTTTCTGTCATGCAACTATGTCTTCATGGTAGATCTGTGCTGTTAATAGCCGGTCAGGTTGGCTGCCGAAACCGCGCGCAGTTGCTTGGATTATCTTTCCCAACCGTGCATCAAGAGTCGCTCGCCAGAAGCTACCCGTCAAGATGGAATGTGCTGCCTCAACCACCACTACTCGTATTGGATCTAGTGTCAATAGACTACAACACTTTCCTGCACTCTCCAGCGCCGCGCATGGGCAACGCCTCACAATGACGATAGGTGTTCTATCAGCTTTTTGCGTCATAGTAGTTGTATATTGAAGATATGGAACGCTTGTCTGCAAAAACCTTCTCTTGAACTCAAAATGTTGATGGAATAGATTGTTTTGGAATCGCGAGTTCTCCTTACAATCTTTAAAATGGCTGCTCTTTGCAAGTCAATGTACGGACCAAGTGTCGTTCAAACGCTGTTTTGATGGTTGATCGAAGCTCAGTTGAGAAACTTCTTGGATTCCTTATTACGGCCCTGGTAACGCTCGAAAATTCCTTCTTTTGTCTTTCCCCAATTCAATAAAGTCTCAGCCTTTTTTTCAGACACTCGGGTTAGTTGGATTAGTAATTTGCTTATTATTGGACACGAATTAATTTCTAATTAGCACGCCTTCATATTGCTCTCAAATTGTTCTTACTACATACTTTCCACGACAAAAGAATTTCTGAAAAATAACCAAAGAATGAGCTTTTGTTGCAGTACCTAACTCTATAGTTTGAGTGGAACGTGTTAAACAATCAGAAAAGGCTTTCTGGAAAGTGGAATTGGTGGTATGAAGTTCACTTTTACAGTTGTCAAATGCGACCATCTCGAACCACCACCTAACGCAGTGCTTCTTTCACCACCACGAACGCATTATCACCGCGGTGATGTACTACTTTTTGGTTGCCTCCCGAATTACATGTTGACTGGTGGTGATTTCGTTGTCTGTCAAGCAAACGGGAAGTGGACAGATTTCATCACAAAATGTGCGTTCCTATAGTTCGCTGTGCAGATACTTTACCAACTTCTCGTTTTGTAGGTGATGCTTTCTGCCGACATCCCGGTGTGCCTGCTCATGGTGCTTCGACTTCACCCCCCAAGGATTACTACCTTGTTGGAGAGAAAATCGTATTTTATTGTCCATCACATGAGTACAAGTTAAATGCCGAGAACGTTTTAACGTGTGTCGGAGCTGGTAAATGGTCACGAAGGGTACCGCTTTGTGTTCTTGACAAAAGGAACTAGACATAATGTCACTACTTTTTATGTACCTGTTATTGTCGTTGTATAAAGTAATGATCACAGATTACCACAAACATGAAATTGAAACGCCCCTTTAATTTAATTTCGATTGGAATCAAAAGATTAAAGGTTTTATAAGAATTAAACTTATACCGAAATTCAGTAGTTGCAGTGACCTCTGTACATTGACTTTATCATTGCTTGTTTTTCTGACATTTATTGAAGCGATTTTCGTTGTCCATAAAAATATCATCTCTACCAGTGTGCTGCCCCAGGGCTACTTCCTGAACACACTCTTTTTTTACAGAAAAATGTTGCTGCTGAGCAGTCTTCAAGGAAAAAGCTTTCAGAGTTCTTTTAATGGAGTGTATCTGCCTTCTGTTTCCATTTACTAATTTACTAATTGAATATGATATAAAGTCGAGCAAAAATACATGGTTACATATTTCTGCTCTTCAGTTCTACAACAATAGAGAAAGTCTACGAAATTCATGGAGAATATTGCAGATCTACGTACCCCATTAACCCATATCGACCGCTCCTTTTGAGCGTGTCTAGCGTGTGGAACAAAAAGCGCTTCTAGGGGGCTCTGCCACAGGTACCAGAAGCGACCTTATTTTCGTAAACACTTTCCAAGGACAAAATTTCTTTATAAAAGTGGCAAGGAAGAAATGGTAAGTTTTACACCACATACAGTGCTATCGTTAGGGCATTTATTGTTGTTTTTTTAGTGTTTTTAAGGACACGGTTCATGATAAAAATGGTTACTGAGTTTTTATCTAGGAAATACTCAGTGGCCTTCGAGGGTGATAGAGAGGGCCCTCTGGCGCCCGGTTAGGGCATTGTTGTAGCCCTGTTCCCGGCTCGCGCGGCTTTTTCGCTCTCGATCGATGTCACGTCAGACGGGTGTCGAGGCGATACAGATTGCAATTTTTCGTTCTAGGACCCACACACAATCAGCTGATCGCCGAGTAACGAAGCGATTTTTTTCTCCCACTCTTTTTTTTCTCTGTTATTCTTTTGCTGGCAGCTAAGAGGGTGGAAGAGGTGAGCCTGTGCTTTTAAAGACGCAAGAAACTGTCATGAAATTACCTCTGAGTGTGCCTCAGATCCAACTCCATCGAAACTCATCAGATCCAACTCCATCGAAACTCAGGGAAACATATAAAATTAAAATAGCTTGTTTTGAATAATCGACTATGTTGCAGCGATTTATGAGTTATAAATATGGGTAAACGACGAAAAGGAGCACATATGTCGGAGATCACTGGCTGCTTTCATCACAGAACAGCTGTGAATTTTTTTGGAATAGAAAAGCTGCTTTAACTGCGAGAAAATCTAGAAAATGACCGAACATCTAAGTGTTACTTCGGAATTCTTCAAAGCAGCCACCCGTGAAGTCCGGATATATGTAAATGCCCGAGCCTGACACTCGTCCAATCTGGTTTCATTCACATTTCCTTTGCTTTAGTAGTTTAACATTTTGTATTGAGATGGATTCGCCGGTGCAATTATCCATGCTTGAGGTACCTTTTGATGTGAAATGTACCTTAAAGGCACCGTTCACGATAAAAAAGTTATTGAGTTCTTACCTTATTAATACTCAGCGGCCCCCATGGGTTGTAGAAGGGACTCTCTCACTCCCCCAATCACGACGTCCAGAGCATAGTGGCAGCTCCGTTGTTGCCGTAGTTCGCATGCCCGCCCCTCGATCTGTGTCACGTTAGACGAGTGTCGAGACAATACATATTGCTATTATTCGTTCTAGGACCCACGCACAATCAGCTAATCGCCGAGTAATGAGGCGATGTTCTTCTCCCATTCTTTTTTCCTCTGTTTTTCTCTTTGCTGCCGCGATCCCTTAATCAATTTCCTACTCCTAGAGGCTGAAAAAGGTGAGCTACTTTTGCTGTTACTAAGGTTTTTTTCGTTTATTTATGCTTATAAGTGAATGAATTTTGCTTACCATTGTCTGTTCTTCGCACCAGGACCCATACGCGCGCAGTGAAACACACTATTTAGCTCGTCCGGACGCCCCACCCTTCTTCATTTTTCTGGTTTCATTCACGTCCAGCCACCTTTTTAACGTTTTTTTCGAAGCCCTTTTTTACTTTGGAAACATTTCTTCACCTCACTCGCACTAGTTTCGATCTTCTCTTCCATTTTTCATCATAATCTGGATTACCCAAAATTATGTGAACGGTGCCTTTAAGCTTGGATACTTCCACCAGTAATAACACTAACTTTTTACACCACAATCGCCAAATTGTAAGTCACGTAATGGTGGCCAGCGTGGTGTGAAAAATTGGTGTTATTTTATCGCTTGGTCCTTCCAGGTAATTAATCAAAAGTAATCAAAGGCTGTCTCAGCGGGGTAATTTATACCCTTTTACACATAAGTTATGGTTAAAATTATATTCTTCATCTTAGGATGGTGGATTCCAATTATTATGATGATGCCAATCTAGAGGAAAATTGTCGAGACTTGCTGTTGGACTCCGATGCTGGAAACGAAGGCGGCGATCCACATGATTCACAGGATTCGCGGGGCAATTCTTCGCTCGAGAGAAAATCCTACTTCAGACTCGAGTTCGATGGCGACACTTGACAGCGAAGACAGCGACACCGAAAAATGGACAAGTGATGTTGAAGC